GCTTTTCTTGCTGAAAACTGCAGGCAAATGGTATGGACACATGGTGACATTCTCATATTCTTTTTGTTTCTACTTTCCTCTTTTCTCTCTCTGTGCTGCTTTGCAAGTCTGTTGCAATAAAAAACTGGAGAAAGGATGTCCATCTATAATGGAATGACTGGGAATGTTTTATTAAATAGGCACTGTGACTATACAACTATTCCCCCTCACTAAGGGGCCTGTCATCACATGCTACTCATGTTCCTTTGGGGTCCAGCCTGTCCTTGGGAATTTGCCTCCTGCTAGAGTGTACCTTAAAGACATCTCCAAAAGCCTAATCTATAAAGAAGAACTTCCCTTTCCCTCCTTCTGTTTCAGTCATGTCCCCACCAGGAGATTTTAGATAAAATGTTTCACTATGAAGGTTAACATCCACTTGAAATTTAGAGCAGGCACTAGAGGTATCTGTCCAGCAGAGAAGAATGCAAAAATCAGGTGTAGTTAGTGGAATGATGTGGCCAGTTATCAGAAATGCACCTACAGGAAGTTTCTACTTCAACGATTGCTCTTTTTGCTTCCCTGAAATTTCCTATTGCAGTAAATCTGATATTGTCCCCACAGCCCTCTGCAATGCAGGAAAGGACGTTTTCACTTCAGACACTCTCCTGAAGTTCTTCAATCCCAGAACATTTCCCCACATTTGAAACAGTCTTCCAACAAAGGCAGATGCTCCAAGAACCTCTACTCTGTGTCAAGAAGCTCTATCTTATGCGAACTTTCATCTATACTACTGCATGTTTGCAGACCTTCTGCATGAATTGTGTTCCCTTGCTCCTTTTTTTTTTGGTAATGAATGAAGCCTCCATGAAATATCCATGGGATCAAAGCTGAAAAGCTCATCACGCTGGTACTCTATTCACAATTTATCTGGCTTCTGCATAACAGGGAGTAGCTCTGATAAGGCAATGCAGAAAGTACAGGAAATAGAATCAAAAAGGGACCACTTGGCTTATCAGGTTCGATCCATTTGAATAACAGGCAAGTACAGCACAAATGGCCTTTTTAAAATTTACTAAGCTCTACCCTAAATCTCATTAGGTTCCTGCCCTCACTCTTGCTCCTGGAATGCTGTTCCAGCACCTCCTTCCCTGTTCTGTTGCTTAGAAACCTTCTGATTTCCAAACTAAATTCGTTCATGGCCAATTTATATCTATTTATTCTTGTGCCACATTGTCCTTTAGCTTAAGTAGCTCTTCTCTCTCCCTAGCACTTTCCCAACCCCCAATTTCTAAAAGTATTTATAGGCAGCAAATCTCTCCTCTCTTAACCTTTGTTCTGCCAGACTAAGGAACTAAGCTCCCTTCTAGTATTCACCCTGCAGGCACATCACACCACGTTTTAATTATGGTGGGTAGCTGCAGGAGCATGGAGTTCAGTGCAAAACAATTAAGTGCATAAAAGCTTGCATTGGTACTTGAGCTATTTTCACATCAGCTCAAATACCTCTGTGCAATACTTCAGTCAATTCTGTGACTGACAAGTAAATATACTGTCCATCCCTCTGATCAACTTGTTGCCTTTCTTTGCATCTGTTCTGGCTGAATCTCTGTCGCGAGTCAAGTGAGTGGTACTGCACACGCTATTCTGGGGAAGTCTCACAGCATCTTGGACAATGACATTGATCTTATTCCCTGCAACTGGAAATACTGAGACCTCATTTGCCTTTTTCACCCTCACATCACATCAATGATTCCTTCTCAATTGATTACTTTCACCCATTATTTTCTCCTAGCAGTTGAGGAACTCTCAGTTGCTACGAGATTCCCCATTCCTCTCCTAGTGACTTTGCACTCTTCCTTTTCACCTCACCTCAATTACTCCTGCCTAAAAGAGTCCTCAGTTCTAGCACTGGAATCCTCTGTCCTGACCATAGCTCCCAGCTTTGTTCCATCAGCAGATGCGTTAGCAGTGCCAAGGTAATTAACACAAATATTAAGAAAGATCAGTGCTAAGAGTCATCCTTGAGCAGCCTCACAGATAACTTCTCTTCTGCCTATTAGGGAACTAGTGTCTCCGTTCTGCCAGTCTCTTACCCACTTGAGGATTCCTCTAATAATCCCTGTCTTCTCTAGCTGAATGTTCTTCACTAATTGGTTCTTCTGGAACACCATATCAGATGCCTCGCTAAAGACAAGGTAGATAAGAGCTGGTGTGTTTCTTTTACTTAGAAGATCAGGAATGTCACACTATAAAACCCATTTACCTTTGATCAAAATATGGTACATTTTATTATATTTTTCCCTTACCTACCTGTTTTTATTTCTCCTTTCCTTAAAAATCTTTTCTACAACATCACATACTACTGAGAACAACAAGCTGCACCAGGTAAGCTTTCAGTTGTCGTTCTTATCACAGACTCACAGAATGGTTGAGGTTGGAAGGGACCTCTAGAGATCATAGAGTCCAATCCCCTGCTCAAGCAGGGACACCTAGAGCATATGGCACAGGAGGGTTTTGAAGATCTCCAGAGAAGGAGACTCCACAACCTTTCTGGGCAGCCAGTTCCACGGCTCTGTCACCCTCACAGGAAAAAAGTTCTTCTTCACATGGAGGTGGAACTTCCTGTGTTTCAACTTGCACCCATTACCCCTTGTCCTATCACTGGCCACCACCAAGAAGAGCTTGGCCCCATCCATCCTACATTCTCCCCTCAGGTACTTATACATATTGATCAGATCTCCTCTCAGTCTTCTCTTCTCCAGTCTAAACAGGCCCAGCTCGCTTAGTCTTTCCTTATACGATAGATGCTCCAGTCCCTTAGTCATCTTCGTCGCTCTACGCTGGACCCTCTCTAGAAGTTCCACAGATCCAGGCTGCGGGAGCATTCTCTTCCACTTGCTCTCCTCAGTCAAATCATAAAAGATTTGCATAGCAGTCTCTTGGGAAGGAGAGAAGAAATCCTTCTTCCCAGTTTGTCAGCAAGCTAAACAGCTATTTCTCTAGATGTGGAGCAGGAGATGCTGCCACAACACCTCTGTTTTCCCTTGAAGAAAGTGCAATGGGGAAGACAAGCGAGGATGTGCAGGGGCTGGGTGAGACTGCTCACCCAGGATACCACATCTCCCCTCACCTTTCTATCCCTTGCCTCTCAAACTGCCTTCACCCACTTTCCCTCAGCGTACCAAAATTAAAATGATTTCCTGAAAAAAAAAGAGGCCTTAGCAGTTACCTTATGTACATGGTGCAGGTACCTAACAGAAACCTTCTCCACCTATTCACTCAGCAGAACCAGATTGTATCAGTTGGATTCAGAGATTAACTCTGTAGAAGAAAGAGTATTCTACTCTAGAACGATACTGGAGTAGGAAAAGACAAGAAGTGACCAAGGAAAATCAGAGCTGATCACCCTGAATGTACAGCAAATGTCAGCAAAGCAGGAAGGGGATATTACTTTTCAGATGGTCTACCCAGGTGCTGCATTTCTATAGCATGACAAATGCTTGACAAGGCTTAACTAACCAAACCCAAAGCCTTCTCTGTGAGCTAGCTCTGTATTATTAACATCTTTCTTTGGATACTCCTCTGGTGAAATCCTTGACAATATCACTGGCATAAAATCAATAGGACTTAACATAGTAATGATTTATGGGAATTACTCCAAAAAGACCTAAAGAATACAGTGATATTATTCCTATTAAATTTCATCACGGGTATACCATTGTCAGGCAGGGCAGAGGAAGAACAACTCTAGGAACATTCCCATCATCTCTGAAGCTAGAAAGAAGTGGTAAATGATTATGGACTTTTCCATATTAGGAGTTTATGGAGCTGCTAGGGGAATTTACAGTGTACCTCATGTTCTGAACTAATCAATGAAGATTTTGCATGAGGGAGATTAGCCTTCTTGGAAAGGAGTTGCATTCTTACTTCAGAGCAAGAGTGCCACATAGGACATGACTCCAGAGTGGCCTCTGAACAGCACTTTCCCTGCATGGGCAGGCCTTCAATTTTCTGATTAAGCGTGGGGGACAGCAGCATTAGTGGGAGAACGGTGATTAGACTAGGAGACTTGCCAGGCCTGTGTTTTACTCTCAGAACCACGGTAACTTCTTGCTCACTACTAGTTGCTGCATAGGGACTGCTGGCTACTATGCTCTGGATGAAAAGGATCTAGCCCAGGAAGGATTGCTGGAGGGACGTACACCAGACCTTGTGCATGGCGAGTCGGTTCTCAGGGTACTGCAGTCTTCTGTGTAAATCGCACTCTCCTGACACCGGCTCTTTGAGACCAGCCTTTGTCCGAACCGGCATCTACTCTCATCACTGGAGCCTGACGTTTAGCAGGAATCAGAATCCAGATGCATACATGCATACATAAAGTACAAGACAAGCATTTATCCAAATGCATTTTCAGAAGGGTTGAAACGCTCATGCATCAGACAGCACGGCGGGGAGGGCAAGGCAGAAAACACCTCCCCAAATCAATGGTTTATTCTCTATTTATCCATAAGAGGGCCCGTGACACCTCCCTGGAAGCATCAAGTGCTCCTGGGACAAGGCTCCACCACTGCTGTGCTCCTGGTCCAAGCCTGCAGAGCAAGCCCTGCCTTACTTGTAGAGGTGCAGGACCCTGCTCCTTATGAATTCTGCTTTGGCTGGCTGAGCTTGAATAAGAGAATCAGAAGAACCTTCTTAGGTGATGTCCTACATGAAACCTTCCTAAACTCCAGCTGGGATGACTGCAGGGCAGCCCACTCTCTTCTTGTTTAAGCACGGCTTAGCCCTGGCGTGTTATCTGGGGAGGAGGTGCGAGGAACAGCGGCAGTGGCAACTGGAAGGGACAGCACAAAGGCAGCAGTCAGTGTGGCATGTCAGCATGGGGAGAGCGGCGCACAGAGACACTGAGGCTGGAGAGGGCAAAAGGAGACCCGTAGTCTTTAGGAAACTAGGTTTGAAAATAGATTAAGCTGGAGGGGGAGGAAGAGACCAAAAAAAAAAAGTGAAGGAAGAAGAGGAAGAAAGAGAGGCAGTGGGGAAGACAAAGTGACACAAGAAGGGGGTGGAGAAAAAGAGAGGAAGAGAGAGAGAACCATATTAAAGGAATAAAACCAAGCAACTGAGAAGCACAAACAGTCCCACTCCTCTATAAAAAGGAAAAGTGCCAAAGCAAGGAAAGACACCGTAAAGATACTGGAAATCAGGTAAGTAAGCATGAGGGGGAAACAACAGCACATCAGTAGGGAATCAAGTTGTTAGACCCAGGGGAAAATATCATGAGGGGATAGTAGGACTTGGTGAGGCAGGAAAAGGACAGCCAAAAATAACATAAGAAATATATGTTTTCTTTTAATTTTTCTCCAAAACAGTCCCGCTGATAACCAGGTGGACTAGGGACACCTTAAAAATTAAAACCCTTTTGTTATGAACAGTTACAGAACTAACAGAGGAGCCTCCCTGAAACGAATATGTGCACCAGCACATTTCAGTGTACAGGGAAGCAGGATGAAAGCCCCAAATACCCTCAGACAGTATAATGCGCAAACTGCAGTTTCTGTTAGATTCAGTCTCAGCATGCAGTGCGGCTGCTCTGGGGAGAGTGGTGAAGGGAACTCTTACCCATGAGAGGCTTCCAGAGTATAAACGCTTTATCCAGCATGTGTGTGAAGTGCCTATTCCAAGGCGTGCAAACGGCCACAGCTTCTTTTCCTTGAGAATGTTGTATCCCTGCTGCTTTGAGGCATGGAGCCTGGGAGCATAACTTAAATGTACAGACTTGCCTTGCTTGTGTCTCCCAGTCACATGCACCGTGCGCGCCGCGGGAGGAATGCCCTTCTCCTCCATCCCGACACTGCCCGGCAGGAGCATGCACAGAGCTAGAGGCAGGAACACCCTCTCCCGCTAGCGGCTTTTTGGTTTTTTATTTTAATTTCCAACTTTTTGTCCCCTTTTTGTACCTGGAATAATTATTCAATTACATTTCCATAATTTAATATTTCTAGCAGGGCCACCTCAGGGTTCAAAGAATCCTCCAGCTTGAGAATATAGTACTTGTTTCCTCGCACCTGGAGAGGAGCTAAGGGAATGTGTGTAAGGGTTGTCTGCTAATTGCTGCTTCTGATCTAGCCTCAGATCTGTGGTGACCCCTTAATTTCCCAGAGGAGCATTTTATTGGTCATTCGTAGTAACTAATGACTTTTGTGGGCTTCTGATTTCAATAACGCAGGTAAACTGCGGCAGTATCTCTAAGGTACTGTAAAAGCTATCAGAGGATTATGTAAATAGTATTTCTGGACTAATCTCAAAAAAGAAACTCTTGGACTGAATGAACGGTAATTGCTGAGCTTTTCCTCATCACTAAACTTGCCAGAGTACCTTCGTGAAGCAGTATGTATGTCCTTACTGCTGCTTATGTGACCCTCTGTTTGTGGCTAATGACTTTTATGCATGTAATATATGTGAGTGTGCAGCCAGGATTGGGTTAAATTCTCAGTTTCTATAGTTGCACCAAAATTCAAGGAATTCTGCATTTGCTGCTCCTTAGAAAATCCACTCTGAGAAGAAAGCACAACATTTCTAACTATTTTCCCCCCTTTTCCTAAGGACAGAACTCTAGTTTAGAATTCCTGAGAATTCAGAGTTTAAAATACTCATCACACTCTGCTCACTTGGGAACTATGTTAAGTATTCCTGCTACTATAAGCATTTGTTGTTTGTTGTTTTTTTTCTTCTTTTTTCACTCAGCAATATATTTTATCATACTTTAGTATTTAGGGCTTTCACTGGAAGAATTTGAAGCTTGACAGAACATCCTACCCCAGCCTATCTCCTCTTTTTGACCTTTGGAGAGATTTCACACATCCTGCACATTTGTTCTTGTTTTCTGACTTATCTAGCAGCATTGAAAATAGACGAGAAGGAATGAGTAATTCAGCACTATACCCTCTCATTAGGGAGCATATTTCAGAGACTGCTCCACACCTCAAGTGCTGTTGTATCAGGCATGAGGACAGAGGCTTAAAATTAGAAATGGTTCCCAGAAGGCACCAGAGAAACTTCAATCTTTGGGCTAGGAATTCATATAGAAAAAAAATAAATCAATGTTATGGCTATTGATAAGGAACAGAAAGTTCTATGTCATATTTCTTCAAAAGTGACCCTGAAGCAGTGTCTCTTACTTTCTGGGTGCATGTCTTTTAGATGTGGTCTAACTCATGGAAATTATAAACTTCCTTACTCCACAGTTAACTGAAGAGAGCTTTGCTTTGAACATATGTTGTTTAATGCTAAGTACACTGGGAAAAAAACACCACCAACAACAACAACTAGCAGCATCTCCAACCAGCTTTCAGAATTAATGAACAATTTTTATCTTAATCTCTCACTGCCTTAGTTCCTCAGCTGTAAAGTTGGGATAATATCATCCCCTCACCTCGGGGTGGTGATGAAAATAAATTAATTATTACGAAGCAATCAGATACTGTTGTGATGAAAGCCATAGGAAAACCCACGAGGAAACTAATAATTCTGTCTTTGGAACAGGACTTGAATAACGTACAGTAAATGAGGCACAGGCCACCTACGGAACAATGAAGAGAAAACAAAACATTGAATAGCTGCTGTTCAAGAAAGCCCCAGCCAGGCTGGCACAGAATAAGGCAGGCATCCTGTGCAAAGAATGAGGTGACAATGTGAGGATGTGGTTAAAGACTCCAGCCATGAGGCACAGGCACAAAGAGATTGAATTAAGATTGCTTAGAAAACTAACTCCCAGCTGCTTGGTTTTGCAAATTTAATATTAGCTTCTTGGTTTTGTTTTGTTTTTTAAGGGCGTGTGTGTGCATATGTATGTAGACACAATATATAAAGTAACCCACTCACAAGCTATAGCCAGATACCATCCTGGCTGAGAAATGAAATACTTGGAACTGGGGATACAGCAATCAGGTTAAAGTGTGAAGAGAATCCTACAGATCTTCAGAAATAAAGAAAGAATGAGATTTGACAAGGCTCTTGATACCAAGTGGGAAGTAGACAGTCGCTGAAGAATTCTCCTTTCTAAAGCTGAAAATAGTAAAAATTAGGCAGTGTAAATAGTTAAGGGGTCAAACTGCTGAAAAGCTGAGGCAGGACTACAAATAGGGAGCTCAGCTGTAAAGGAAAATCTGGGAAGGGACAGGCAGGGAAACATGATGGCATGCAGAGGGGGAGGGAAAAGATGGGGCAAGTCTGTGAATAAGAGTCCTCTCCTCTTCCCATTACCTCTCCAGTCCCTTCACTATTTTTTTCCAACACTGTTCTGACAGGCAGACATCATTTGCAGACTATGGACCAGCTTTAAATCACATAGAAGGCTTTTCTGCTGCCATATTGCTTCCCAGATGGTGCCTCCTATCACCTCCATGTCCCCTTGTACCAGCTGCCCCTACTGACATGATCACCTCACAGCAGAGCCTGGGAACTGCCTTCCTAAGCCAGTCCCGACATTTCTCAGCATGTTTCTGCTCTCTGGCACTCCCTTTGCCCTGTTTGGCTGTCATCTCAGTGTGTACACCACTGCCCAATTTAGTATCAACCACAAATGCATATAAGTTGGCTTCTCCTTACAGAGATAAAGATACTGTAAAGAGCACCAAGCTCTGTAATACTGAACTGGATATTTTTCATACTGTTAGTTAAGGAGTAAGCTAAATAAAATCTATTTGCCCGTTTGCAGCATTTATATCAGAGAGAAATGATTTTTTCCCCTAAAACAAAAGCCATATGAGACTTTACATGGCTTATATCAAGTCCAGTTTTGCTACATTTGTTGGCCTAAGGGCCCATCTTTGTAAGGCACAGGGGAAATCCCAAGAGAATCTGAGGGATTCATGTATACAAAATGCAAGCCTGCATAGCATCATGTAGTTACTCAAAGCAGGATTTTCAAACACCCTGGGCCACGTTCAACCTGCAACTCACCTGAGTTCAAGGTCTCTTCTGTTCCTGGTCTCCACCCTCTACATGAGGAACCTTTGCCCTAAGGTTTATATATGTCAAAGCACAGCTGGGCCCTGGCCAAAAAAAAAAAAAAGGGCATTAAATGTCCTAGATAGACAAATAATAAGAATTCAGTAAAATGGAAAACTCTTCAGTTTCCACCACCACTTCAGATGAAAATATTCTACATAATACTGTCATCTGTGTGTGTAATACATCCCTAATGTGTACACTTGGAGGTGCTGAGTGATTTCCCTCTGTCTGTGTCTCCGTGTACAACAGGGTATGTGTGTGTTCAGGAGGTGACAGGTCATTCAGCTCCTTTATCTCCTCACACACTCTCTTTTCTGTGAACTCTGAGATCCTCCACACTTGGAGAGCAGAGCGAAAGGACACCTCATCAAGGAATAACGAGCTGTCTGCAACTGCAGGCAGGGCCAATGGTCTGGACACGAGCATGACCCTTCCAGAAATTGCAGTTAACTCAGGATGAGCGGCGTGACAAGAGATACAGGATGACTGTCTTCTAGGACAGAAGCTGTTAACACAGAGCTCTGTCTTTTCCATTTCATTTAAGCATAGGAATCAAAATCACTGTCCTTGTTACTGATTCCAGCACAGGATTTTTAACACAACAAACCAAAAAGGAGCCTGTATAAATGTGCCAATCCGTTTTTTTAAGCAGAAAGGAATATGAACACACTTAATTCAGATCCATGCATGGATCAGAATTACAAAACTGGATAAAGCACTGGCCTATTTCAGGCAGAAACTTAACATAAGCACATGCTCATGTGTATGATGCCAGAGGGATAATGTTTGGATCACAGTGTCTAACGGGTCACTGTAAACATGTATGAAAGAACCAGCATCAGTAGCAGTGACCAGAAAAATATATGCTGAGGTGGGCTTTAGCAGTAATTTGTGTCCCAACCTCCTAAGAAGTCCCTGGAATTCAAAGCATTGCACCCACTCTGGAGAGTACAGTTCCAGCTTTATTCGGCTCCTTGCAATGTTGTAAACCACACATGCCCAAAAGCCTCCCTGTTGAGGTCCGAGCAACAGAGGAGCATGATACACTTGTCCTGAAAAGGTTGCTTCTTCCTTTGGGGTACAGATTATGGCTGCAGGCTCTGTCAGAAATAACAGACACTCGTCTCTTAGAAAAGCACCCCTCTGGTGGTGTGCCTGTTGCAGAAGGGTACATAAGGGCTTGTTATAGAAG